GGGAACAAAAATAGGGTGAGGGAGTAAAGTATCTTAAGTTTCGCTTGTTATATGTACCATTATAATCAGAGAACTTTCCAGTTTCGGGTATTTCAAAGGTAAGACCATTAGAAATAGTGACCTTTACTTCAACAAAAATCATTTTTTTCTTTTTTTAAATACATCCTTTTGAATAAAATGCTTTGAATGTTTTAAAAATAACTACATAGTTTAAAGCAAAATAAAAATAAATACAAAATTAGTTATACATGAATGAGAGAAAAAAGTTAATAATTAACTTTTAATCATTAGTAGGTAGCAATTAAATACATTCCAGAATTCATGTCACCATAACACTTTTTTTACACTTTCTGATGACAAATAAGTTTGTCCAGAAGGAATGCAATGATCATCACGTAATGATGGAATTTATATTTCTCAAACTTAACAGCAATTTGAAGTAAGAAATAAATAAATAATAAATTCTATAGCACTATGAATAGTTACAAACATTGTTACATTTCATGATTAATTGTGAAACAAATTTAAAGTAGATTTGTTTAGCTGGGTCATTTACTTGCAAATATAATACAGACCTTGATTACTTGAATACAACAACTAAACATGAGCATCAAGTGTTTTATCCCATTTATATATAATAGTAGTAAAACAACTTATCTTTATTTGTCGTTAATGAATTACATGAGCATTGAACTGAAGCTTAGTTATGAAATAGATGATCAATAAATTTAGAAACTTAGTAAAATCACTCATTATATTTGTTTACAACGTGTAAATAATCATAACTACTGAGAACAGTTTCTTATTAATAAATAATATTTATAAGAATGTTTGCCAAGTAGTTACAGAAGAAAAAAAATATTTGAATTGTAAAATGATGATCGATTCATTTCTATTCTGTTGTCTGTTGACGAGAACGAACTTGTCTTATTACTGAACTAACATCGACATTTATTCTCATTATAATAATAAAAATACTGCAAGTAAATGAACTAGAAAAATAATGATGATGATTTAAGTTGAGTCCAATTAATTCATTTAATTAATTCAAGAATTCTATGAATTCATTACAAATAATTAAATATTATAATTTATCATTAGAGAATAATATGATTGATATGTTTTCAACCATGAACTTTCTTTGGTCAATTATTTTTTATCAATAAAACAACCACATAACAATTATTTTTAATTAATAGCTTTTATTTTAAATTAACTGATTATTTATAATTTATTAGGTAATGTTGTGAAATAAAATATATTCCTTTTTATTTTTAATTTTATTCAATTAAAATTAGTTAATTTCAATTCAATAAAATAATCCTTTTTAATATTAATTCCTCTTTATTCTACATGACCTGACACTTCAATAATATTTATGATATCTTTAATAAAAATCATAATACTAAATACATTTATCATCTAAAATATTTTTACCTAATTTTTATTGTCACATGTTTTACTACAAAATGCAGTGGAGCAATAAAAACATTATTGGCATGTATTGATAGATTTAGTATGCATTTCTCATTTTATTTCCTTCCTCATTTTATTTTATGTTATTTACTTTTTTGTTTACATATAAATGGAAAAATGTCAAAAGTTATATTTCTTACTAAAGAATTTATGTTTGAATGAACTAAGGTATTACAAAATTATTCCATAAACATGGATTATGAGACATATGTGAAATTATGTGAAATATTTCATTTCTTTCGGTATTCACATATTCTATCTTCATTATTAAATTATCCCCATGATTAAGAAAAATTTTAAAAATAGGTTAACTTTTAACTCGAGACCACTTAACTTACAATTAAATTTTTTAATAATTTTTTAAAAGCTTCACCTTTGACTATTTGTATCAAAATTATTTGAATTTAAAAGAGCTTTTTCATTTTTATTTTAATAAAAAATAACTTTTATATATTTTTAAATACTTTGTAGTAAAAAAATTCCTTTGAAATAGTTACTTTAAAATGTTACTCCTTGAAAATAATTAAATATTAATTGGATTGCAGTAAGAATTTATTCATGACTACAATTAGATAAAAGAAGTAATGAAAATGTCTGACCAAATTATGTAATCATTTATAAATTAATGAGTAAATAGTTTAATTACTCATTTTGTAATTTAATAAAAGCTTCAAAAAAACAAAAGATTTAAAATAGTCTTAATGTTAAATAAAATGCAAATTTATTAAATATGCATTAAGTATTAATGGATACGATGAATAAGAGTTGAAATGATGTATTCAAACAGTAACAAAGGCTTGTATATACAACCTGATGGTGGGTGTAATTGTAAATTACTGATTCAATAGTGAAAATTACGTATTTTGAAAATAGGTAGGTGTTATAATAGATTTGTTTCCAGCAAATCAGTAAAAAAAATTTTAATAACTTTATTATTGTGGGGATTCATTTCTTTAGGTTCATAAACACACAATATTTGTAATAAAATATGCAGGAGTAAATTGGAAACAGTAGAGTGCAAATAGAATATTCGATAGCATACTAAATATTTAGGTCGATTGGCTGATTGGTTTTTTGTTTATTTAACAATGCTAGCCAATGCTTTGGTCCAATCTTCAAATTGTAAGGAATATTATTAACAAGTGGATTAATAAAAATTATTAAAAGTCAAAGCAAAATAGTTAACATTTATCCATTTATTTATAAAAAGTAAATTAGGATGGTTGAGATGATTTTTTTTTTTAAGATCTATAGAATTTCTTGGTAATAATAAATTTTGGGTTTAATAATTAAATGATAATGAGGTCAAATAAGTCGAAGAGTGAGAAAATCAGAAATAGTAACCATCATTAATAAAGGAATAGGATTAATAATAGTAATTACTATTGTCCTACTTTGAAAATCTGTCGAATTAGAGCCTCTGGATATTTTATTGTTAATCAACATCAGATATTATTCAACGAATATTGGAAAAAATGTTAATTAAAAACATAATATACTTTTATGATGGTAATTTTTTTATTCAAATATTAAAAAGATATCTTTTTTATTGTAACCCGAATTTTTTTCAACTTTAATACTAACAATGTTAAAAAATACACAATGAATAGTTGCAATGGAAAATAATCTTCATATTATTGCTTTTATTTTTATCATTATTTTAAAATAAAATTTATGTATAGATTTGAATAAATTTTATTCTCAATTTATATTGAAGGCAATTGTCCGGAAGTAAAGCTTTACCAAAAAAATAGGGTTTAGAATACTTATAACGTTTTTTCCGGATTTTTTCCATCACCAGAATGAATTCTGTGAAATAAAAAGAATTCTATTTATTATTTAAATGTACTAAGAGAAGTAATTTTTTTATTTTTATTCCTTTAAGTTAATTGACTTTAATTATTACTATACATTTAAAAGGATCCATAATTATTTAATAAAGAATTATTATATACATAAATGCACAAAATTTACTTTGCTTTGATCAGATAATTTACTTTCGCTTCCAATTGAATTGACCTTTTGATATTATCGATATTGTAACAACTATTATCATCACAAAAAGTATTTGAATATTTATAATATTTATCAAATGCTTATGATTACAGTTACATGAAGTAATTATTATTGCTTGAAGAATAAGTACAAGGACTTGAAAAAGGAAAAAAAATTGTAGATGCCAAGTTATTGAAAAGTTCTATTCAGAAGATGTATTTTCCTGGTATATACCACTCGTTATAAGTCAACTTTTATTGTATGTTATGTTTTTACCTAATACCTGTCAAGGATAAAACAATTTCAATGAACCCTACTGTCATAATTGCTCATATACATATGTTTCCGCATTGTTGTCATTATTTTATGTTCATACTTAGGTAAAAAAATAACCATAATTCTATCGTCAACATTTTAACTCATACAAAGTACTAGTATTATCGTAAGGAAAAACATTAATGACACTCAAGAGTGGAAAGTATTACCTATTAAATGCTATTTTAACAATAATGTAATGAATTCTTTGTAATGAGAAGTTTTATTATATTTACATTAAAACACAAAAAAAAAATTAATTAATTGCAAATTATGATATTTATCGACAAAAAGTCTCTTTAAAAATGAAATGAATTATTTAATAATTATTTACATATGATGGTTAAAAAATGTTTACTTTTTAACAATTGATAAGTGGGTTTTATTTTATCTAGTTTTTTTTTATAGAGCGATGGAAGATAATAAAAATGTTAAATTGAAGATCCTGACAGTAGATAAAATGTCAGTACCCTTAAAATCTACTCCTTTATGTCAGTATTCAATATTTTATGTTAAAAATATTTTCAAATAATCTTTATTTACTCATCTGTCTAGAGAATATTATTAATAATAAAAAATATATCTATAATAATTAATTAACTCCTTTTTTATTATTAAGAATTCAATAGTTGAATATGGAAACAGGAAATTTTAAAAATTTTAAGTACTGATGAGTTGCATTATCTTTCATTATTATCTTAAAATGAAATAAATTTTATTCATAAAAGTAATTAGTTGATAAAATGAAGAGAATATTTTATTCAGATACTAGGAGATGAAGAGAAAAAAATCCTTTATTATAATAAAGATGAAAAAAAATGCAATATTTGTTGAAGGTATCCTTTACCATTGTAATTTTATAGCTTCTCAAGGATCCTAACTATAAATAATTTTCGAATTTTCTATTTTTATAAAAATATCAATACTATACTTTGTTATTATTTAATCAAACAACTATAGTGTCTAAAGCATATTATTACTTAAACTTCATAGATAAAAAGTTTTTTAATAAACAAATAGATATAAATATATTGGAAGATGAATAAATAATAGTGTCAGCAATTTTTGAAATAAATCCAATAAAATTCATGGTTTTATGATTATTATAATTTTTCATTTGCATATGACTCTCGATAAGTCTGTCAGCAGATTGTAAAATGAAATAATAAATGGATTGGATTTATGAATGAATAAAAATAACAAAAATAACGAACCTCGTAAAAGTAGAAAGAGTCAATCTCAGCTGTGGCGTTGACCTCAACAGTAAACGAAGTATTTGGTGAATCGTAGGATACGTCGTAGCGTTCATTGGTGATATTCTTAAGATCAAGAACCTCGTTATCAAGTTCCAAAATGGTTTTGTTGTCGGCAGACAACAAGGTGACTGTTCCATCTGGGGACATGTCTCTTTTTTCCTTTGCTTCAAGCCGAAATTGACACGGCTGAAGAGTATCACCAATCGAATCTGCCCATCTTGTGGTGAATTCATTTCCTTTCCTGCTTTCTCATTCTTCTTCAATCACTTTTTACCCCTTGTGCTGTGATATTATTACTTTTATTATTATTATCATCATCAACATAAATAATCATTTAAATACTAATATCCAACTAATTTTCTATCATTTATACAACATTTTAATCATCAGATTAGATAGTCAACTTCATCCACTATTTAATGACCTTTTTTTAAAGTCAGACTTGAAATGAAAGAAGGTTTCTATTGTACCAAAATTCCCAAGACTAAGCACATTAAGGTATGCCTTTGACTAAAACCTGCACATGTAATTACTAAAGTTTAGCATTCTCAACGACAAACGAATCTTTTGCTTTCAATATTATACTGTTAAGTATCTTAACTTTAGGATATGAGATAATAACAAAGACTAGCTATCTTTTGGTCTATATCAAGTAAACTTAATTGTGTTGATCATTAGAGAGTTTCTTTTGCTACTGGTTTAGATTTTACAAAAAGAAATAAATTGATTTATTTTCATTACTTTTATATTCAAATAAAATATCTTAGATTTAAAATATTTAATAAAAAGCTGGAAAAATAAATAACTTGATAATTTTTTTCTTTTCTGAATAAAAATAATCATTAATAATATTGATTTAATATGTTGTGTAAATTTAATAATCATTATAAAGAAATTTAAAAGTTAATAGAAATGTAATTACTTTTTTTCTAGAGTTATTAAATGGAATGAATGAACATGTCGAATATTATTAATCAAAAGCATTCTTCTTTTTTATTGTCCATTATAATATGAATGGATTAAATTTTTATTAAATCTTTAGATGATTAAGATGAAAAGTGTATTTTAATAAACCTCAAGTATTACAGAATAAAATAAAAACTAAAAGAAAAAGATGACTCTTAATAATAAATGAAAGAAAGATGAATTAAAATCATCATATCCTTTGAGTTGAAAAATAAAATGAATCTTTCACTTGAAATATTTGTAATGCACTTCTTTTCCATAGTTTCACCTTTTTTCAGTAGTGACATTTTATAACCACTATATTTTACCTTAGAGAAAAAATTTCATGATTCGGAAGTGAAGTAGTTTGATAAAGATAATTTTGTGCTCACTTTTTTACGGTTTCCCTGTCAAATGATTTTTCTTACACGGGCTAGTGAGTTCTATTTAAATTCTCCTGAGGCAGAAAGCCGTTTTCTGAACTTCAAGATCCATTTCTACAACTAGATTTTTCTTCACTTACACTATAATCCGTCTTGAAATCTTGCTTTCAATATAGTAACTTCTATGTAAGGATGCTGTTTGTGAGCTTGATCTACGATCGTTAAGACGACATGTGTCACGCGTTTTATTTCTTCCCTTTTTTACGGTTTTGCTTTTTACGACACTGATATAAATCACTTGACATCCTTCAATTTTACCACTAATCCAATCATTTTATTGTTTCAAGATCATTCATAAGTCTGGTGTTTTTTATTTAATACACTACTACTTGTTTTTGTTTATTATTCAATATTTATTTCCAATTCATAAATAATATTATTTATCACTTCCACCTGACTATTTTCACATTTTCAATGTATATAACAAATATGGAAAATAGTGTAAAAATGAACAAAAGAGAAAATATATTAACCTATTTCTTAAATGGCTCATATCGATAGATAAGTATTTGTACATCTGTCACCACATCATCACTAAATTTCGATTTTTTTCTGTTTTTATTAACCAAAAAAACACTTTCATTTCCTTTTATTTTAAATATTTTATTTGCCACTTGCTAGAAAAAAAATTGATATGACAATTAAAGTAAATAATGTCATTCAAGAAGTCTTGGAAAGGAGAATAGAATATCTATTAATTAATCTTTAAGAATGAAAACTTTTTAGTTCTTTCTTTTTTTCAGTTACATTGAGATTAAACTTTTATTTAGATTCAAAGAGATTAATTAGTTCGATGTTCTCGAGTAATTATAGAATTTTTTTATGACATTTAATTACAATAAATTTATTTTAAAAATATTATTTTTTATTTTCATGAGATTTAAAAATAAAAAAAATTAAACGAATTCATTTTAATTTTTTATTAAATAATAAAATTTTTTTAAAAATAATTTTAGTATAAAATTAAATTATTCTTATTATTTTATTTTTGTTTATTTAAGGGGGAAAAAGAAAACCAGGGTTTTCGTTGTTTGTTTTTAAGAATATTTGACAGATCAAGAATGATAGAGCAAATAAATAGCAAGTGAAAATAGAACGAGCGAAATACATTCGATCTTACTCGTACGACGCGTGAATCGCGACTGCACTTACAGCGCAACACATCGAGGAGTCCATGGATAAGGTCGACAACTAGTGGTAAGAATGTTGAAGCTAAAATAAAACTAAACATCCATTAAAAGTCAAACGATCCTACGTTATTTTTTCACGTGATACTTTTTCATTATTTCCCATCAATTAAAAGTTCAATCATTCATTAAGTTCTATTATTTTTAATTTTTCTTTAAAAACAAACAATAATAATAATAATAAAGAAAATATTTGTTAAAAACTTCCAACAACTGATGATAAACTTGATAAAAAAAATTAAATCCACGGAAGTTTTATTAAAATTTAAATTTAATAAAAAATTCATTAATTATAACATATTGATTAATATTTACTTCATATCACGTGACACAAAAAATTATTTTTTACTATTTTATAAAATAAATTTTTAAAGTTTTGATCAATTATCACTGAGAAAAATGATCTTAACCAGATTGACTAAATAATTTTTTCTTTTTATTAATGTCAATAATCAATTAACTAAGTTTACTTTGTAATTTCATAGTTGATAAATTGTTAAATTAATTATGTAGATTAAATCAATCTATCAAATTCAATTATCACACAATACTTAGTAAGTTAGTTGAATGATAAATATTCGCAAAACATTTACCAGTTATTTATCATTCAATTTCAATGATATTTTATCGATTAATTCTAAATGCATGCATCAGTCATTATCGTATAAACACAGTTAGATGCATCTAATCATTATCAGCAGGTATTGGTTTAAATGTGAATCAATAAATTCTAAGTCACATATTGTTATTAATTATCAAAACTACACTATCTAAAATAAACTTCAAATAATATTTCTTCCCTTTTTTGATCAATAAAAAAATAATATTTTCTCATTTATTTTATATTTAATAATGATCATCATCGTTGATAGTAAATGATTAATTATCACTATTCACTGTATTAGTTACTATCATAATAGTAATCTTATGTTACACTTAATAGTGAACTTTAGTTTAATTTGAACGATAAAATTTTTGTATAAAATAAATAAGGCAATAAGTCAATATAAATTGTCAATTTTTCACTCTCAATAATTGATATTGTTTTTAGTTATTAATCAATGTCATTAAGAATTAATATGAACGGAAGAACAATAACTAAAAGCAATATACTTAATTAACGGTGAATGACTTATATATTTTTATGGATCAAAAACTAAAAAACAATGATAGATGTTTTTTAAATACTTTAGAAATTGATAAGAAATAATAAGATTAATAGAAATACTTTTATCAACTTTCAATATTGTTAACAAAAAATAAAATAATATTAAATATAGTTTTATTGATATTTCAACATGGCATTATTTATATTTTATATTATTACTTTAATTAGTTGTAAGTTTATTTAATTGTGAGAATATTGATTAAATATAGGAAAACATTCTGAACCTTATGTGTAATATTTATTATCAATAATTCCTACCCGCATCATTGAATTATTTCTTTTCAATTAATCAATAAAAACTTAATCTTTCATCATAAAAGAATGTTCATGTATTACATCATTTAAAAAATAATAATTTAAATTGCAGATGGTGCTACACGTTAAGTCCGCGGAAATTTTTAAGCCTTGGATTGCCATCTGGTGAAGAGAAGCATTTCCTACTGCTAATTTTGACGGTTCTGTTCTTCTATTCAACATCCACGTGAAGCTGATTGCTAAGTGTCGTTGGGACTCATCGTTTTGGCGCACAATTAGGTAATATATAACCACTCATTTATTAAACAAATCAATAATTAGGATTTCCATGGGAAGTTAAAAATAATTGTCAAGAAATTGTTGACATAATAGAATGTTAAATCATTTGTGAGAATTAAAATTCTACTTTTTCTCTGCTGGAGGTCAGCATGCTCGATGTTTCTCGTAATACTTGTGTTGAATGTGTAGTGATTAGCTATTTTAAAGATTTATACAACCCGGAAAAATATCTAGAACATTCTGAAAAAAGTTAACTTGTGTTCTAAGTTAGTTTATTTATGTAACAAAAAATAATTAAACGTTGTGACGTTATCATTTGAAGTATTTAATAATTTATCGTAGAAAAAATGCCGTCCGACGCTAAAAAAAAGCAACAAGCAAAGAAGAAGGAGGCCGCCAAGGCGAGACAATCTGGCAAGAAGCCTAACTCTAACCAAACCAAGACTGAGGATGGAAAGGATCAAACGGTTACGTCTAATGCTCAGAATGGAACTAATGGAGCACCTTTAAGTGCTGAAGGTATGTCTACTATTATTTTATTAATTATCATTTCAATAAAAATATTAAATAATTTTATTATAATTTTCATAAATAGAGGCGCTTTGTATGAAATTGGAGAACGATGCCAGATTGAATGCTGAAGCACGATCATGTACTGGTAGCTTAGCATCCCATCCTAGAAGTCGAGATATTAAAATCTCCAACTTTTCCATTACTTTCCACGGTTGTGAACTTCTTCAAGACACAATGTTAGAGTTAAATTGTGGAAGAAGATATGGTCTGTTGGGTCAAAATGGTTCAGGGAAGTCAACTCTTTTGTCTGTAGTTGGAAACCGTGAAGTTCCCATTCCTGAGGCGATTGATATTTTCCACTTGACCAGAGAAATGCCTGCAAGTAATAAAACTGCGCTCGAGTGTGTAATGGAGGTTGACGAGGAACGAATTCGGTTAGAAAAATTAGCTGAAGAGTTAGCTGATTGTCCGGAAGAAGATGCTCAAGAGCAACTAATGGATGTTTATGAACGGTTAGAAGATATTTCTGCTGATACTGCTGAAGCTCGTGCTGCTCACATTCTTCACGGTCTTGGATTCTCTAAAAAAATGCAACAAACTCCAACAAAAGATTTTTCTGGAGGTTGGCGTATGCGAATTGCACTTGCGCGAGCTCTTTATGTCAAGCCTCATTTATTGCTGTTGGATGAGCCAACTAATCATCTTGATTTAGATGCCTGTGTGTGGCTTGAAGAAGAATTAAAAACGTATAAAAGAATTCTTGTGATAATTTCACACTCACAAGATTTTCTCAATGGTATTTGCACTAACATCATTCATTTACACAAAAAACGTCTCAAATATTACACAGGTAATTACGAAGCATTTATCAAGACCAGGATGGAATTACTTGAAAATCAGGCTAAGCAATACAACTGGGAACAAGATCAGATTGCTCATATGAAAAATTATATTGCACGTTTTGGTCATGGATCAGCTAAGCTTGCCCGACAGGCTCAATCAAAAGAAAAAACTTTAGCAAAAATGGTAGCCCAAGGACTTACTGAAAAAGTTACAAATGATAAAGTTTTAAATTTCTATTTTCCATCATGTGGAACAATTCCACCACCAGTAATTATGGTTCAAAATGTCAGCTTTCGGTATACCGATGATGGACCTTGGATTTACAAAAACCTGGAATTTGGTATTGATCTTGACACGAGGTTGGCACTTGTAGGTCCAAATGGAGCAGGAAAGAGTACCCTTCTTAAACTACTTTACGGAGATGTAAGAATAATATTTACATAAATAATTAATTTATGCGCTTTTTAATCAACTGTTTAAACAACTGAAATTGATGAATAATTAATTATAAATATTTTTAGTTAGTACCAACAAGTGGAATGATTCGGAAAAACAGTCATTTACGGATCGCCAGATACCACCAACATTTGCATGAATTATTGGATCTAGATGTGTCACCGTTGGATTATATGATGAAGTCTTTTCCTGAAGTAAAAGAAAGAGAAGAAATGAGAAAGATTATAGGTCGTTATGGATTAACAGGACGACAGCAAGTAAATATTTAACAAAAACATAGCTATTAATTATAGTTGACAATAATAATATATTTCTTACATTGATTATATATTTTTGCAACAGATTTGTCCAATTCGACAATTATCTGATGGACAACGTTGTCGTGTTGTATTCGCTTGGTTAGCTTGGCAAGTTCCCCATCTTTTATTATTTGACGAACCCACCAATCACTTGGACATGGAAACCATTGATGCTCTGGCTGAAGCTATCAATGATTTTGATGGAGGAATGGTATTGGTATCTCACGATTTTCGACTTATTAATCAGGTAAAAATTGTATTAATAAACGATATTTCATTTATTTAATTACATAATCGTTTTTTAAATAAAATAATAATTTTAGGTTGCCGAAGAAATTTGGGTATGTGAAAATGGAACAGTAACAAAATGGCAAGGTAACATTTTGGATTACAAGGAGCATCTTAAGAACAGAGTATTAAATGATAACCAGAAGCGCCAGAAAGAATTAATGGGAAAAGGACGAAATAATTAATAATCCATAGTAATTAACATAATGGATGATGAATTAATTAATTTTATATAAATCTTTTTCTGCCCAACCTATCTTCAATCTCCCTTGAGTTATCTTTTATTCTATATATTAATACTGATTAAATGAAACATTAATCATTCATGTTAATATTATAAAATTATTATTATTATTGTAGCAAACATCAACGAGTACTCTTTTCTCGTCAAATATTTCTGTGTACGCTGCTATGTAGCGATGATCATTGTAAAATTAACTTATTATTAGTTAATTTATTTCTAATGAATTTATTTTACCAATAATTCAAGTTGATTAAAGCAAAATTTTAAATGCTCGAATTCCTTATGAACATTCAATACAATAATGCCAATATAAAATTAAAAGATAATTAATTTTTTCAAAACTCGTACTACTCTCACAAAAAATTTAGAAATTGTAAAAAAGTTAAGTCATCAACTACTTGAACCAATTAGTGTAATTAAAATATAAAATTCATCAAATTAAGCAGAAATAAAAACAGCAATAAAAATTTTTTCAAATGTCATCTAATTTTATTGAATTACTTTTAGTTAATAAGTTAATTAACTATTTAACAATTGCATAAGATTTAATTGTGTTATTAAAAAATTGGAAGACAATAATACTTTTTAATTCAACAATTTGTTCATTTCATTTTTAAATTGATAAATGCATTCGAAAAATAGTTTTTTCTCTTTCATATTAATTTAGAAAACACTTTATCTGTAAAAATATATAGATATATATACTTATATACAAATATATAATTTAGTTTGTAATAAAATCATTCAGTCCATTTTTGACATTGATCACGTACTTCAATCAATAGTTAGATCATCAAATATACTCAATAACAATATGATAAATCATCATAAAAATGTTCAATTATAATAAATACTGGTGTAAGAAATAGTGTAAAAATATTTTTTCATACTTATAAATAGTTAAAAGATCAATATTCATCAGAGATACTCTAAACTGGTGTTGATGCTGGTATAGAGCAGACATTTTCTTGAGCCAACGCAGCATTTCGCAATATAATTAAGTGAGAATCCATATCTTGAAGTGCTTGATCAATAAAAGCTAGTTTTCGTACTTGACTTTTAGGTACACCATGTTTTGTGACAAGAGCTAAGTGAGTAACTGCTAATACCAGAGCTGCTACACGAGCTTCAAGTAGTCGTGCATCTAGTGGAGGATATAAACTACGAACAACATCATCTACACGTGGTGGGATGCGTCTGGCAACCTAATGAATCATTATTTATGAATTATTTTAATTTTCATTCTTAATTTCAACAAAAAGAAAAAAAAATATCATTAATACTCACGTCAACAATTTCCAATGGAACAGTATTACTGTTGACAGTTCCAGCAATAGCAGTAAGACTTGTGGCAAGTGAATGACAAGATCGAAGTACTGCAATACAAGGCGGAGCTAATCCTGTTGCATCATCTACCCACCTAAATGCATAACAATCGAAATGAATTGAAGTTATTTCATGACAACTTTATGACAATAAGAGATATAAATTAACTAAAGAAATTAAAAATATAAATTGTATACCTTTCAGCTCTTGCAAGCCATTCATCATTTTCCCAAGCATCAAGTCCAAGAGTACAAACATTGTCTCCTTCCAGTAAATCTGAATTTAGATCTGATGAATCTTTTTGTTTCTAAAGGTAATAATAAGTACAACAATCTCACAGAATAAATGAAGAAGCTCCTGATGAAAGTAATAATAATCAGTAAACATACATAATAACAACGTTGACGGCGACAGATGACAAGTAGTACAAGTAAAGCTCCAAGGAAGACAGCAGCCAATGCACCTAAAGCTACTGCTACGACTGTTTCCATACCTGGTGTTCCAGCAGATGTGCTAGCACTGCTTACAGACATTGGCGAACTCATTTTTTTTTTTAAAGACACATTAGTATTTATTAGATGCTTAATTAACAATTACAGTTATTGACTAATTTCACAATAGTGAATACAATTGGTATTCTAAAATTTTTTTTGATGTAAATAGTTCTTTGCTTTTTTTTTTGAGATCATAACAAATGTGACTGGTTAATTTATCGTTGCTTCCTACTACATAATTGTTGATACGCCATTCTGGTGTAAGGTACTGACTGTTACGACTTCCATTATCCATACACATTAGAATGTCCGTTCTGTAAGGCTCGGCTCAACTCAAAAAGTTTGTCGGAGTTGACTTTACGCTCTGGCGTTATGCGGTGGAAGGTCGAAGCTCGATGTCAACTAAAATTAGGTAGGTAACAACGGAATCGTTCGGAGAATGATAATTTTTAGGGATGCACGAAAAACAGAGAGTATTGAGCACCAAAAAATTGACAAATTTCCAAATCGTTTGTTTCAAGCAAGATAAAGCAGAAAAAAAACGGACAATTCTTCCACGAGTTATTAAGGTCAACAGGCAAGGGATAATTAATTTTTTGACCCTTTCGCTGTCTTTTGACCTCTATAACTCGTGGAAGAATTCTCCGGTTGTGATTGTTGCCAAATATTTAGAAAAACTTAGAATCTAAGCTAAAGATCCAAATCCATAAAAAGTGTTTGAAAAAATTCCTTCCTCCTTGAAATCACTAAAATACTTAGCAACATCCCTTAAGAAGTGTGACTTTTGTGCTCTTTTTGCGAGTTTAAGAGTCAAGGAATTTCTTTACATACTTTTTATGGATATGCATTTTTGACCCGAAAGTTTCAGAGTGATTGATCCCTCGAGTTTTGTCCGTATTTAAGAGGGTTAGAATAACATTTTGTAAGTATAACTAAATTCCACATTTCTACTCATCAAGACGTACAGATTAACGGCCAATCATCAAAATCAGAGAATTTTCTTTTCTAACCTCAAAAAATGCAAAAAATCGTATTTATGCTTGGATCATAAAATTGAAGATGTCATTGAAAAGAAGGGGACGAGACGGTTCCCAAACACTGGCTGTTGACTGTATTTGGTGTGTAAAATCAGGAGATATTCCTGAAAAACGGAAAAACATAAAAATATGCATAACTTCTATGTCAATGATGCTACGAGGTTGATCAAGGGCTTATATGAAAGATCTGGACCTGAGTAAGAAATTCGGCTCCCCCTATAGGATATCCCCGTCAAAAAAGCCGTATCTCGCTTAGTTTTCGAGTTATGAGCGTTTAAACGTTTTTTTATGTTTTATTGGAGCATAGCTTCGATTTTTGCCCATAACTCACGATCTATACGAGGTACATGGACCATAAGCATATCAATAGATTCCTGAGAGCAAGAGCTTTCCAGTGCACTAGTCAAAATTATGATCCGAGCATAATTTATGGTAAAATGACCGCCATTTCCGGTTTCTCCTTCATTACCGGTTCTACGAGTTTAAGGATGAATAGATATTTGAGGTCAAATTTCAGAGCACTGAAACGTACGGAATGACCACCAATCATCAAAATCAGAGAATTTTCTTTTCTAACCTCAAAAAATGCAAAAAATCGTATTTATGCTTGGATCATAAAATTGAAGATGTCATTGAGAAGAAGGGGACGAGACGGTTCCCAAACACTGGCTGTCGACTGTATTTGGTGTGTAAAATCAGGAGATATTCCTGAAAAACGGAAAAACATAAAAATATGCATAACTTCTATGTCAATGATGCTACGAGGTTGATCAAGGGCTTATATGAAAGATCTGGACCTGAGTAAGAAATTCGGCTCCCCCTATAGGATATCCCCGTCAAAAAAGCCGTATCTCGCTTAGTTTTCGAGTTATGAGCGTTTAAACGTTTTTTTATGTTTTATTGGAGCATAGCTTCGATTTTTGCCCATAACTCACGATCTATACGAGGTACATGGACCATAAGCATATCAATAGATTCCTGAGAGCAAGAGCTTTCCAGTGCACTAGTCAAAATTATGATCCGAGCATAATTTATGGTAAAATGACCGCCATTTCCGGTTTCTCCTTCATTACCGGTTCTACGAGTTTAAGGATGAATAGATATTTGAGGTCAAATTTCAGAGCACTGAAACGTACGGAATGACCACCAATCATCAAAATCAGAGAATTTTCTTTTCTAACCTCAAAAAATGCAAAAAATCGTATTTATGCTTGGATCATAAAATTGAAGATGTCATTGAAAAGAAGGGGACGAGACCGTTTCCCAAACACTGGCTGTCGACTGTATTTGGTGTGTAAAATCAGGAGATATTCCTGAAAAACGGAAAAACATAAAAATATGCATAACTTCTATGTCAATGATGCTACGAGGTTGATCAAGGGCTTATATGAAAGATCTGGACCTGAGTAAGAAATTCGGCTCCCCCTATAGGATATCCCCGTCAAAAATGCCGTATCTCGCTTAGTTTTCGAGTTATGAGCGTTTAAACGTTTTTTTATGTTTTATTGGAGCATAGCTTCGATTTTTGCCCATAACTCACGATCTATACGAGGTACATGGACCATAAGCATATCAATAGATTCCTGAGAGCAAGAGCTTTCCAGTGCACTAGTCAAAATTATGATCCGAGCATAATTTATGGTAAAATGACCGCCATTTCCGGTTTCTCCTTCATTACCGGTTCTACGAGTTTAAGGATGAATAGATATTTGAGGTCAAATTTCAGAGCACTGAAACGTACGGAATGACCACCAATCATCAAAATCAGAGAATTTTCTTTTCTAACCTCAAAAAATGCAAAAAATCGTATTTATGCTTGGATCATAAAATTGAAGATGTCATTGAGAAGAAGGGGACGAGACGGTTCCCAAACACTGGCTGTCGACTGTATTTGGTGTGTAAAATCAGGAGATATTCCTGAAAAACGGAAAAACATAAAAATATGCATAACTTCTATGTCAATGATGCTACGAGGTTGATCAAGGGCTTATATGAAAGATCTGGACCTGAGTAAGAAATTCGGCTCCCCCTATAGGATATCCCCGTCAAAAAATGCCGTATCTCGCTTAGTTTTCGAGTTATGAGCGTTTAAAACGTTTTTTTATGTTTTATTGGAGCATAGCTTCGATTTTTGCCCATAACTCACGATCTATACGAGGTACATGGACCATAAGCATATCAATAGATTCCTGAGAGCAAGAGCTTTCCAGTGCACTAGTCAAAATTATGATCTAAGCATAATTTATGGTAAAATGACCGCCATTTCCGGTTTCTCCTTCATTACCGGTTCTACGAGTTTAAGGATGAATAGATATTTGAGGTCAAATTTCAGAGCACTGAAACGTACGGAATGACCACCAATCATCAAAATCAGAGAATTTTCTTTTCTAACCTCAAAAAATGCAAAAAATCGTATTTATGCTTGGATCATAAAATTGAAGATGTCATTGAAAAGAAGGGGACGAGACCGTTTCCCAAACACTGGCTGTTGACTGTATTTGGTGTGTAAAATCAGGAGATATTCCTGAAAAACGGAAAAACATAAAAATATGCATAACTTCTATGTCAATGATGCTACGAGGTTGATCAAGGGCTTATATGAAAGATCTGGACCTGAGTAAGAAATTCGGCTCCCCCTATAGGATATCCCCGTCAAAAATGCCGTATCTCGCTTAGTTTTCGAGTTATGAGCGTTTAAACGTTTTTTTATGTTTTATTGGAGCATAGCTTCGATTTTTGCCCATAACTCACGATCTATACGAGGTACATGGACCATAAGCATATCAATAGATTCCTGAGAGCAAGAGCTTTCCAGTGCACTAGTCAAAATTATGATCCGAGCATAATTTATGGTAAAATGACCGCCATTTCCGGTTTCTCCTTCATTACCGGTTCTACGAGTTTAAGGATGAATAGATATTTGAGGTCAAATTTCAGAGCACTGAAACGTACGGAATGACCACCAATCATCAAAATCAGAGAATTTTCTTTTCTAACCTCAAAAAATGCAAAAAATCGTATTTATGCTTGGATCATAAAATTGAAGATGTCATTGAAAAGAAGGGGACGAGACGGTTCCCAAACACTGGCTGTTGACTGTATTTGGTGTGTAAAATCAGGAGATATTCCTGAAAAACGGAAAAACATAAAAATATGCATAACTTCTATGTCAATGATGCTACGAGGTTGATCAAGGGCTTATATGAAAGATCTGGACCTGAGTAAGAAATTCGGCTCCCCCTATAGGATATCCCCGTCAAAAATGCCGTATCTCGCTTAGTTTTCGAGTTATGAGCGTTTAAAACGTTTTTTTATGTTTTATTGGAGCATAGCTTCGATTTTTGCCCATAACTCACGATCTATACGAGGTACATGGACCATAAGCATATCAATAGATTCCTGAGAGCAAGAGCTTTCCAGTGCACTAGTCAAAATTATGATCTAAGCATAATTTATGGTAAAATGACCGCCATTTCCGGTTTCTCCTTCATTACCGGTTCTACGAGTTTAAGGATGAATAGATATTTGAGGTCAAATTTCAGAGCACTGAAACGTACGGAATGACCACCAATCATCAAAATCAGAGAATTTTCTTTTCTAACCTCAAAAAATGCAAAAAATCGTATTTATGCTTGGATCATAAAATTGAAGATGTCATTGAAAAGAAGGGGACGAGACGGTTCCCAAACACTGGCTGTTGACTGTATTTGGTGTGTAAAATCAGGAGATATTCCTGAAAAACGGAAAAACATAAAAATATGCATAACTTCTATGTCAATGATGCTACGAGGTTGATCAAGGGCTTATATGAAAGATCTGGACCTGAGTAAGAAATTCGGCTCCCCCTATAGGATATCCCCGTCAAAAATGCCGTATCTCGCTTAGTTTTCGAGTTATGAGCGTTTAAACGTTTTTTTATGTTTTATTGGAGCATAGCTTCGATTTTTGCCCATAACTCACGATCTATACGAGGTACATGGACCATAAGCATATCAATAGATTCCTGAGAGCAAGAGCTTTCCAGTGCACTAGTCAAAATTATGATCTAAGCATAATTTATGGTAAAATGACCGCCATTTCCGGTTTCTCCTTCATTACCGGTTCTACGAGTTTAAGGATGAATAGATATTTGAGGTCAAATTTCAGAGCACTGAAACGTACGGAATGACCACCAATCATCAAAATCAGAGAATTTTCTTTTCTAACCTCAAAAAATGCAAAAAATCGTATTTATGCTTGGATCATAAAATTGAAGATGTCATTGAAAAGAAGGGGACG